CCGAACTCAAGAAAATTTTCAAAATTTCTTTCCTATTCTTTTCACCATTTCCTTTATTGGATATAAGAAAAGTCGGTAGCGACTCTTACTATCCATAATATTTGTGATCAAACGCAAAACACCAAAAATCAGTTCTTCCACCGTATTATAACATAAAAAATATATTAAGAAATTGTCAACAATTAAATCTTCTTACTAGAGTAATATTATTTAGTCTTCCATTTAAAAAAGTTCTTTAAATGTTGGTTGGTTGGAAGAATAGAAAGTTATGAAAAGCTTTTTTTTATAATTAAATAAAAATAATTTTTCATCACTAGCCTTTTATAAAAAACAAATTTGTTGATTAAAAATAAATTTAGCAATTTTCAAATAACTAATACAAATAAGTGAATGAGTTTAATAATAATGCATTATCAATATAAAAAAATATTACATATATATTTAATTAAAATATTTTAAAATATTAAATTATATAAATAATTTAAAATTTACCGTCTAATTTAATAGAATAAATAATTATCATTAATTGAGAGTCTACAATAATGGACCGTTTTTTTTTTAATTGTAAAAAAAATACAATTAGGTGGTTGATATTAGATTTCCTGAAACAAAAGTGAAAGTTAAAAGAGGGTGGGATTTTCATAGAATTTATCCTATCACCCTTTAATTTTTATACGAGGTCTTCTTATTTTTGTAATGCAAAAAATATTCCTCTTAAGGTTGGAAAATTTTCTGTTTGGCGCAAAAAAAAAAAAAAAATCGATAAGCCAATTAAAAATTTTGATATACATTTATATTAGCATTTTTAAAATATCAACGGTTAGATAAATTTTAACGAGTATTTTGTAAAAACTTTAGAGAATATCAGATTTTTTCCATACCTTTGAAAATTTGAATAGTGTTATTTTTTAACGATTGTGATTTTGTCGATACTTTTGTAGGATTGTGATTGTACCGACACTAAAAGTATGGATTGTGATTGTACCGACACTTTAATATGGTCTATAGTGATTTAATTCTTGTATAAATATGCATCATATATTCTTAATAAAAATATCTCATAATGTCTCAATTTTATATTTATGTTTATCTCCCGTTGATTTTAAACTTGTAGAAGACGTTCTCTTGTTGTTCTAAAATTCAAATGGGTTAATCTCTTATACCACACCGCAACAAAAAGATGGCTAAGATTGAGTGTCGTTCACTATTGCTTAACACTGAAGTAAAATTAAAGTTCAACAACTTTGAGTAAAAGACAAATGAAGACGTAAATGTTATTTGGAGCACATAGCACCGATACAAAACAAAGGGTTTGATCGAGGAGGATGTGACAATTGTGAAATCTATCGACAATATTATCAAGATATTTAAACATTATGTATCATCTAGTAATGTTTAAGTTTTGTTCATGTTATTTTCTTGTTAAGCTATGTTAAGCAATGTTTGTGTTAAGTTATATTAACCCTACGATGATCTAATGCTAATTTTCATTTAATTCAATGACAAGATAAAATGTCGATAATATACAAATAATTCATTACAAATCCAAAATAAAGTCAAGAAATCATAAAATAAATAAACTAATAAAATTTACACAGGTCTACCACAAACAACATGTGCTATTTCAGACTACCCTGCATAAACCTCACAATTTGGATTTACCAAACTTATGAGATCATCCGAAAGAGTGTTATCCTCTATCGTCAGTTGTTGGTCATACCAAGTGGAAGCGGTAAGGCGATATCACATCATCTAAAAGTTCTCCATCATTAAAAGATTCAACACCATCTGTACGCTACGCAGGTGGGATGATACGATAGTGTGTGATACATGTGATACTCTAAAATACCACTCTAAGTAATCATTCACACCCTGTCTGGGAGAAGACATTTCCACTACAATATTTCTAATGTTAGTGGCATTATTCATAATGTTAGAATGCCGATGCATATTAGAGACATCTCTCAATTATATATCTATCCACATAACTCTCCTTTAATTAGTATTTTTTTAGAATAGAATCAAGAAAGAAAAAAAAGCAGACATATTTGATGCTTTTTCTTTAAAATAAAAAAACGGAATAATTATATAGAGTTTGAAAACCAACAAAATGGAATAAACAAAATTTTGTCTATAAATTATGATTGTCCTATTAATATAATTTCTAAACTATTAAAATAATCTAAAAATACAATAAACTTCATCTTACTATTTAGTCTTTTAAATAACTTTCTCTTTAAAGTGTCCATTAGTAGTCTATAAATTATAAAAATATATCAAAATATTTTATGAGTTTAAAGATTATGGACTGTCACTGTAAAATATTTTACATATATAGTTAAAGGTTAAATAAGTTTTTGGTCCCTCTAAATATAATAAATTTCGTTTTTAATCCCTCTAAAAATTTTCTTCGAAGAATAGTCTCTCTAAAATTTTTCATCCATATTTTTGGTCTCTCCTGCTAACGTCTTTTAACAGAGTTGATGTGGCACTAACACGTGGCAGTGTCAGATGTCAAAGATGATGATGTGACATACCACGGTCAACATCATACTTGAGTCCTAAAATTTCATAGCTAATTTGTAGCTAATTTCTAGTAAAAATACAGTTTGTTCATGTTGATGCAAAGGACTTAAGTGCAAGAATTTTCCAATCTCTGTCGCACATAGGTGATACTTGGTGGTTTAACAAGGCTTACTAGGACCAGTCTTTCAATGACTGATTGGAAATTTACGACTGAGTTCCTTTCGTTGGTCTTACTGTCGTCTCCAATGCATTTGTTGCAGGAAATAGTGTTGTATGTTAGCTTGTGAACTTAAAATGATAATTGAGTTGTTGGACAATAAAAGATAATCATTTTGTTTACATGTTGATTACCGAGAAATGCATTTAATACTTTTCCAAAGATAGTGATACATGGATCTCAAAAAATATACTTGAAATGAAACCTCTGATTCGTAATTTCTTTTAGAATACATCAATTGTACAAATATTATTGCTGCAAAAGTAAAAGTAGCAGTATCTTTGTTTCTTGACTTGTTTTATGGTTGTCTTTTTATTTCATTTTTAAAATTCATGTGCCTTCACCCAATACCTTAAGTTTTTTATGTTGGTTAATGGCATAACAGACTTGAGCGTAATTAAAGAGGCATGGTTGGGAAAGTGTACTCCAGGAGGATAAAATTGTAATGCGATTATTAAAGTCAATCAGAAACTGAAAGAGTTGGTTTATTGTGTGGTATTAAGGGACACAAGTTTAAGTTGTAATACAACAATTACAGTCAATTACAAATTGTATCAGTTGGTATTACAGGACACAGACTCATAGTTAAATAAGGGGCTTTGGAATGTTGAAGAGGCGAGTAGCAAGGAAACAGAGTTGTCTGATGTTATTGTGAGGGAAGTGACCCCTTGTTGTAATGAAGAATTTTCTTCCCGTTACTTTCATTGAATAAGACAATTTTTTTCTAAAGTGTTTTTATCTCTTCACTGAGTTTTTAATACCATGACAATTTTTAATTAACTTATAATATTTTTTTATTCAATGATTCATTTGTGCATCAACCAATATGAATTGAACTTGGAATCTCACTTCCATCTCCCTACTTTTACCACTAAAAAATTGTGTAGTATTGTGACAGAAATTATAAAAGAAAACATTAAAAAGATAAGAAAAAAAGACTATCGATCTTAAAGAGATAAATCTCTGACAAGTTCTGTTACTCTTGTAGTTAGTAATTTCATTCAGACTCATAACTAAATTTAATGATTCTACCGGTGTGCCAACTAGGCCAATAGCATAGCGAGCTAAAGCACATTATATTGCTTTACATTACATAATAAAAGTACAACAAATACTTCTCTATTGAACTGAGTATTACCACATAAACATTGGATCCAATAGTTCAGTGGTGTTTTGGCAGAATTTCAAACAGGGTAGAGTATAGTTTGTCATCTTTGAGGTAGTTCATTCTTCTGCTACTTTCAGTTTGCTCCTTTTCTCATATTTTCTATGTTGAAAATACTAATTCATATGATAATAAATCCTACTACTTAATTTCAAACATCAACAAATTATTTGTTAGAGATTAGCTATGATTTTAATTATGAATTAGCTACAAAATTTTAGGATTCAAGTATGATGTTGATCTTAGTCACGTGGTATGCTAAGTTAGTATATTTGACAACTACCACTGCCACATGTTAGTGTCACGTCAGTTTTATTAGTAGACATTAACAGAAGGGACCAAAAGTGTAGATGGAAAACTTTAAAAGAACCAATATTTGAAAGAAATATTTAGAGTGACTAAAAATAAAATCTGTTATATTTAAAGAGACCAAAAACATATTTAACTCTAATCAATCAAAACTTTTACATTTGTCATGTCATTTCAGTATTTTAAAAATAAAATTGAGAAAAAGAAAAGAAATATGCAGTGTAAAATATTTTTACACTATCAACCAATTAAAAACATGTCTCCAATTAAAATACACTTTTATTTTTAAAATACTGATATGACATGGTAATTATAAAAATTTTGATTGATTATATGTGTAATATTGATTTGTGCACTACCTTTAAACTCCCTAACTATCATGAAAACAAAACAATAAAATAGTCCATAAATATTCAAATTTTGTGTGTTAATTATCTCATCTTTTCTCTAGTCCACAATCTCTTCTCCAGCCATATCTTTTTCACATTTTTTTCATTTCCATGAGAATTTTAGCTTTAAATTAATTGTTAAGTGATACATGAGGATAAAAAAGTGGCATGATACATGAATAAGGTTAGACACAAATATTTCTTCCAGTGCTGCTATCAATGCAATCCAAGCAACTTTTCCCCAACTTGATTCAAAAACTTGTAATCACGAACTCGCATCTTTTCAAGGGTGGGAAAGTTAGTTTAACTGAAATCATCATCTCTTTGATGACACCTCAAAATCCAAGATTCAACTTCTAACTTTGCAGCTGAGATAAATTCCTTATACTGCTCTTCAAGATTGAGATCTCTCACGGATTTTGGCTCTCGCAAAAAGTACTCCTGCCAAAAGACCTGCAATTTCCATTTCTACCTTTAGTGTTGAAGTAAGAATGTAATTCAAACTTGTATATATTTACTCTATAATAATAAATACAAACTTTCAGTTAACGGCCTAACACAAAAAACTAACCAAATAAAATGCTGGCAGAGTTTTCCAAACTAGTAGGAACTTTGAACAGAAAGATGCCAGCAATCGAAAGTGGTATCTTATTCAGCGAACCTACAAGACTGAACATCGCAAACTAGTTACTAGACATGTTGTATAGCATGATATTAGGAAACTGAAATCAAGTGTGAATTTATCTTCCCGAGAGAGCAACAATTGACACTTATGATCGCACCTGTAAGTTGTAGCCCCTGTCTGATGAAGAAACCACATCGATGTGAAGCTAATTGCTAGGCCCAGAATTCCGCTGAATGTCACCACTAGCCAAAAGCTAGGCAATCTCAGAAGAGGCCTGTCAATTGAAATACATTACTACTGTTTAACAATGAGATTTGCAAAATGACTTCACAGGCAAAACGTAGGAGAAAACTCACGTGCTTAAGAGATAATCCACCTCACTGAAAACGAGAATCAGAAAAATTCCCAAAGGCAAAGAAAGCGTGTTGTTCAACAAGACCATTGAAAACTCATTTAAATTTCCAGATTTAGTATATTGCTTTGCCGTATCCATGACCCTTCGTAGGGTCAGCTGCAGCAATAAAAAACAATCAACTAATCAGCACACTAAATTAAAAGCTAAAATCTCTTCAGTTAAGAAGTGTAAATTTTATTTGAAAAGCACCCAGACAATGACGGAATGGTAAGAAAAGTGAATAAAAAAAATAATGAAACTTATTATATAAATGAAGCTTAATCATAAAGCACAATACTCACAGAATATGATGCAGTTAAGAAACAGTTTAGTGTCTGCCACATATAGCCAGTTGCATTGAAAGAAAGATCAGTAATCCCTCCAGTTATTGCTGAAATGATCTGCAGGGGAAAGGGAAGAGTCACTCGGTAATACAAAATCATGTTTGCTATGATTAGAGAAATAAAATATTTCGCACAATGAATCAACCTTTGACAACTACAATAATGCAGTATATTGACACTGGGGATGGTTGTAGGAGATATAATAAGTAAAACAAACCACAACTTAAAAGGTAAAACATGTGAGTGCTTTATCAAACACAGATATTACAAGTTTCATAATGTCAAGTGCTTAAACATACCATTAGAAATAGAGCGGCCCAGACCCTGCCTTCGTGCTGCTTCTTGAACAAGTACATTTCACCAACTGCCGTTATGACATTAGTAACATTCTTCAAGACTGTCACCATAGCTACATTAATGTATTTCAAACTGCATGCAATACAAATGAATAAGCAAAATAATACAATCAAGCAAGAGAGATAGAAACTGCTCTATGTAATGTGAATCCATAAATTGACACCGGAAAGATTGAAATGCGAATATCACATATTTGGCGATTAAAAAGTTAACATCCTTTAGAGTTCATAACTTGGATGCTCCCCAAAAATAGGCAAAGCATTTCCTGGATGAATACCAGCTTAAAGTTTCAATTTCATAATTACACAAGACTACTCATAAATGAAATCCCTCACATTCCACATACTAATACTTCTTTAAAAAATCAATGCAGTTTCACACTCATCATCAAACAGAATTCCATTCTTTTCAAAAAATCAACTCAATTTTGTACCTACCAATAAACACTAATTCGGAAAGATTGCTTTTTAAAAAACTGGAAGCATATGAAAGATTACAAAAAACAAAGCCTTATGCCATGATGGGGACATTAATCAAATGATGCCATAATATCTTATCATAAATAATGTCTAATGACAAACCATTTAAACCCAAATCCTTCTTAATGGTTTGTATGGTCACGGACCTACAGTTTTTCCCGGGCCTCTTTTTACCTCTAACCATTGAACTATCTTCCAACTAGTCTATCCGCCTTACATATTCTCCTCCTTCCTTGTCTTTTAAAAAATGCTCAAATCACCGAAGCAGAGAGTATGATTATGAGCCTAACTTTCTCTCTAAAGGTTTCATTCTTAATCTTAAGAGTTGATTTTCTGTCACAAATTACAGCATAAGCATCACTCCATTGCATCTACGTTGTTTAAATTCTATGGTTAACACCCCCTATGCTTAAATTGTAAGAATTGTAATCGGTCCTTTTTCTAACTTTATCGCTAAGCTAATGGCAGTGTGCGCCTCCTGCTATTAGAAAACCAGTCACAAAGTATCTGCCCCCATCACCCCCTTTGTTAGCTTATCGATATATTGCCTTGTAGCACTTGCACTAACACTTCTGATCAAAGGTGTGTCCAGTGTCTGACGAGACACCGGCTTCATGGATATATTGTAAAAGATAAAAGAAAGCATTATAATAGGCAGAAAGTTGATACCTAAACATGCTTGTAATTAGCATTCCAACAAAAATAGCATTGACAGGAAACCAGACTCTAATCAATCTCCATGTAAGTGGTTCAGTTGAGATTAAACCCAAAAGGCTCAACACAGAAACAATAATAACCGAAATCAAATTCTGCATCAACAAAACCATCAACCTTTACATCATTATTAAACTATAAAGTAACCAAAGTTAGAGAAAAAAAAGCACAAACAAAAAAGGAAAATAAAAAAAATAAAAATAAATTACCTGATAAACCATCAAAGAAATTCCAGCATTAAAATCATAACTAGAAAGTACAATTTTATTAACTAAAATCATTCCACAAGAGGAAAGACAATAAGCAAGTCCAGATAATAAGGCTTGATTATGTACTTTAACAACCCTTCCATTTCTCGAACCTCTCTCTTTGCTCTTTTCCAGCAACTTTACATTTTCTTCGTCATGTTCGTCAGCTGAAGAAGTCTTCATTTCACGCTCACGGCGGTGCGAATCGCGCCACGGCGGTGAGGAGTGGAGCTCTCTTCCGGCGACGTTGAGTTGTTGAGTAAAGGAGAAAACAAATATTCGTTTTTGAGAAACCCTTGTTTGTTTATGATCGAGCCATCAAGGGTTTCTAAGAAAGAGGGAAATATTCAAAAGTTACAAGGTTCTTTGTTCCTCTTGTTGTTCAATTATTTTCTGTGATTTAGATTTCTAGTTTCTGTGTAATGGTGTTTAGCTTTAAATATAAATAATCATAACCTTTTTATTAATTTTTTTAGGGGACTCTGAAAACAAAATAAATAAATAAAGAATGTGCATCGTGCTCACGTGAAAACTACTACTACTAATAACAAGACTCCGGATAGATAAACATTAAAATATTCAGTTTATGGCACTAAAATCATACTTGACAATAAGATAATTCAACACTTGACAATAATTAAAATATTCAGTTTATCCAAATGATGTTGGCAGGTGTTCGCGATCACAAAAATAAATCTGAAACAAACAAAATCATACCAATGTGATTTGACATTATTTGATTTTTTAAAATTTTAAGTGTAATTATTTATAAATATAAAAAAAGTATAATCATTTATACATTATTTCAACACCCAATAATAAAATAACTACTTGTTTTACAAAGTTTTCAAACTATATCATTAGTACAACACTATAGTAGTAACACAAAAACATCATTTAAACTAAAATTAGGTTATCTATCACACGACACAATAGAGAAACATTTCAATCTTAAATATTGATAATAGTAAGAAAACATGTTATTTAAATATAAGAAGTTTAATTTTTCTTATTTAATAACAGTTGAATGTGTAATTATTATAAGATGAGACATTTAGCCCAATGAATAAGTGTTGCAATTCTATTATAAAGGGTGTCTGTTTAAGTCCCACCTCCACCATTTTTGAGTAATAACATGTTTTTTAACGTAAATAAAAAATTAATTTAAAATAAAGTATCAACATGATATTAAAAATAACAATAAATTAAAAAAAAAGAAGCTATTTGGTCATCCACATCAATATAAAAAATTAAAAAAAATTGTCACTATTATTTTTTTGATGACGGCATGTGATGAAAGTAAATGTTAAAGAGAATTTATTCAACTTTTTTTATATATGGGTTTTTCAAAAAGATAAAATAGCATGTTAAATTATAATTGATCGATTATTTTTTTATTAAAAATACAGATAAAAGAAATGGTATAGATAATTGGTTATTCATAGAATACGGGTACAAATATAAATGTTAATGTATGTTAATGTGCCGATTACAATCCCTACTTGTCCCTTTTCAATTGTTGTTAGGGATTAAAAAAAATTAATTATTGTTAGAGATTTAGTTTTGTTTTTTTCTTTCTAATAGTGATCACAGAAATAAAGTTGTTTTAGTATTGTTTTTTCATAGATTAAATTTTTTAAAGATCAAATTGAGTCTCAGATTTATTTGGGGACTAAATGAATCTTCATTCAAATAAATAAATAATAATAATGGAAAAGCACAAATATTATTTTATTCAATAGTGGTTGTATCCAAAACAAAAAAAAAAAAAGGCAACTTGTTATGTAAGTGTTGACTTTATGGCACCATTTTAATTATGTACCAAGTTGTCTATGAGACCAAAATGAATTTCATTGAAAATAAACATATATCAGCTAGAATCCACTAGTTTATGGTGTGCTGCCATGAATTATGAAAGGAATATTACCTAATTTTTGCGTTCCAGGTCAAAAGTTCAATATGCTTTTATGATAGTGGAGTTCTAAGTTTTCAGTTACACATCAACTGAAAAAAAAATGTATGGCAACCATAGCTTTCAATCGAGCTGAGTTTTATTTTACAAAGGAGAAAAATAAAACGTGATACTGTGATGTAACCTTTCAATCATGCCGTGTTTAGTTTCAATGTTTGGAAAAAAGATACTTTTAGATACAAAGAAGACTTGTTTAAGAATTAATCTGGTTAATATAGGCAGATTGTCTGGCTTTGATGAAACGCCTTATGCTTGTCACATCTCCATGCATGACTACCTTTCCATCTTCCATGTAGATTGCACCATCTGCATACTCGAGTTCTTCCAAACGATGGGTGACCCATAATGCTGTAACTTCTTCAGAAGTATCCAGACAGTTTCTAACAGCTTTGATAACACCAACCTTTAAGGAAAAGTGCAAAACATATATCAGTAAGGGCTGGTCTTGCGCCAAAACGACAAAATCCCACATATTCAGAAGTAAGAAAAAGTAAAAAGTTAGTATATGTCAATTTCATCATTAGGACTGATGACCATGATCACATGACAATGAAGGCATAGAACATCACAATTTAAAGATCACCTGGTCAGTTTCATCTAGGAATGTTGTGAGCTCATCCAACAACAGAACCTTACAAGCTTCTGCAAGAGCACCAGCAATGGCAACCCTCTGCTTCTGGCCACCACTCAGAGTTTGGACAGATCTCTGAACATTGCAACAGAGGGAAAATTCGTTTATTATACTTACAATTCACACATTTTTGGCATTCAAGTCGAAGTCCATAATACCTTCATGTAGTCAGCTAAACCGACGGCATGTAAAGCTTGGGACACCCTAGATCTCACTTCATCATTGGCCAAATTGATTTTACCAAGACCAAATGCAACATCAGAATCGACTGTAGGCATCACCACCTGCAACAAATGCAATACTATTATACTACACACTTTATAGACTTCTCATTATTAAATAGACCATACATACACTGATACACATTCAAGTTGTACAGTTAAAATTGGTGGATTTGGTAATTATAGATTGATAATAAAATCAAGTTTTTGATTTTGCACTTTGTGAATGTTTTAGTTTTTGGATCACAACAGTTTTATCTGCGGTGCAGACATCAAGATAACATTAAAATGAAGATTCACTTCAAGTGTATTTTAGTAAGTATATCTAATCGAAAGATCCAAATTCATAAGTGCCATTGACAATGAAATTCTTATTATCAGTTGCTATTAATTAGAGTGTGCAGAAAAGATAAATCAAGTAAATTTGTTGTGCTCAATAATAATAAAGGAAAATTTAGAGGAAAGTTTGGAGAAGAATTGACATGGAATGCACTAAACTAAAATAATCTCCTCTCTTTTCCCTTTCACGAGACACCTTGCATCAACTTTAACAAGACCCATGTTAAATGTCATAAAGCGATTAAATGTCATACTGATCAATAAATAGTTACCATTTTTTAAATCTTAAACCAATGCCCTTAAGTCACCATTAACAAGACCCCAGTTAAAGTATTAGTGAAAACATTTTCTCCAACTAAACCTGTCAGTGCCACTTCTTAAACTTTTAGATGCAATGGAAAAAAAAAAAGCATGTTTCTTCAGAAAATCAAGTAAGAACAATCAAAAGTCTAAAATGTTGATCGGGTACTAGTTGTTGTTAGCCTGGACTCAGGACAGTGGCAATGGCAATAAAAGCTGTGGAAGGGAGTGTTTGTTTGCTTTCGAAATAAATAAATAACGCACATGTAAAGGTTGGAAAATGCCTCGAAGTTGGCTTGAGCAGATTAATTGTAGGTAGCTGTGTTAAGGGATAATCACATAAATAATGACTTTTGCATCCCTGTTTTTCAGATCAAACTACTACATTTCAGACGAGCTATACAAATTTGAGTCTACAGATAGCAAGGAAGCAATAGCACCACATTAAAACGACACATATGATTAGTTATGATTTGTTGACAATATTAAACTTTTACACTAGCGGTGTATCAAAAGTAAATTCAAAATTGAAACTTCAAAACTGTGTTCCTCCAATTCTAACTTCAACATGGGTCTAAATTTGATAAGGCACACTCACTGAATTTGGATTTTGTAAAGTCTCACAATAAACTTTAGCCTATATTTTCATTCTCATGGAAAACAAATCCAACGAATTTCCTTTTGGAATATAATAGAATCAATAGTTTTTGTGACTGCTCAACTATGAAGCACAGACATCCCAAACACGACCCCAAACACGACCCCAACACTGACACGGGTAATAATTTGAAAAAATGAATAAATTAACATAATCACAAGTGTCGGTGTTGGTGTCAGTGTACACATACAAGTCCTTTTTCAGACGCGTCAGTGCTGCACTACATAGCTGCTCAAACACCCAACCCAACATTCAAGAAAAATAGCAATGAATCAATCAGCAACAAAAAAAAAAAAGCCAAACCTGATGATCCGGATTTTGGAAAACAAAACTTTTAGGTTCTTTCACATATACTGTTCCTGAAGATGGAGTCAATAGACCAGCCAAAATCTGCATGTAAAGCTCACAGTTACATCACTAGTCTTAATTCTAATCACACCAGTTAGTAGAGTTGCTTCCATGGTACCTTCAAGAGTGTTGATTTTCCACACCCATTAGGTCCAAGAAGCATCCAAAACTGCCCAGAAGGAATGCGAAGAGAGCAATCTCTAAGAGCCTGTACATCCTTTGTTTGCCTCGCGGTGAATGAAAAATTCAGATTACAACCTTCAATTGCAACACTATCCGCACTTTTGCCCCTGCGAAATCCAAAAACACAAGCTGTTTGATAAAATGTCCAAACGAAAAGTGAACTAAACCAAATCTAGAAATTAGATAAACCTAATAGCAGCACTGGGAAGTGTAGAATATATAGGAGCAACAAGATGCTGAGCGGTAAAACTCAGAGAAGAGAGATTCATAGCATCAGTTTTTATTTTTATTCTTTTCTCTCACTTTTCTTTTATTTCTCGTTAATTCCACGGCTATTTTATGAAATTATTACTATTTTTATGATTATTATTCTTATTTTTTATCTGACGTGGCATATTCTAATTAATCATTAATTCTATGTTATGCTATAAAATAAAAGAGTATCATTTTATTTTCTTATCTATATAGTTTGTATGGCTTTGCGTTTCTCTTCATGGCTTTCTGTGTGAATCTCAGCTACTACACCTCCTT